CTTCTGTACAATGTAGATTTTCAAAATGGAGGTTTTTCATAACAGCACAAAATGAGATTTACAGAAAGACATTAAATAATCACTGTAAGACTTGGTAAAAATAATAATAAAAAAAATCAATGGTTAAGCAAACCTGATGTATACTGGTATAAATGTGGGAGATGTAAACACAAAGTGAGCAGGCAAATAACCATGTAGGCCCTACTTTCAATGTCTGAAATGGATAAACCATATAAGGTCTAGAGTGTTCATAGTTCCTGGGATTTTAGTTCTGTACGATACTAAAAATATACAAGTATTGTGCTGGGTATTTTGGCACCTAATCTTTCTAAATTTCTTATATATTGATAAGATTCTGGCATGGGAATAGATTTAAACAAGACATAACTCAATACTGCATGATTTCAGGAAAGGTCAATTGGTACAAATGATAAGCACATTTTAAATGCTGAACAGCAAGAATCTTTTGCTAAGTGTCCAAAAAGGCTAACTGTAACCCAGACACGTAGGCTGCAATTCTGTTAAACTTGTGGCCTGGGAAAACTGCTTTACAATACTCTTATGGAAGTTTCATTAGACTTATTCACCAAGCCAACATGTTGGCTAATACATATGACATATTAGGTCCTGTGTCAAATTTTACTTCCAAGGCAATAACATCAGGCACCCCAGTTTTATTGAATGCAACAGTTGTTTCTATGACCATTGGAGTCTTTGAAGCGCAGCCGCATCTTAGGACGATATTTCTCCAAATACAAAAGTTGCTTGCTGTTAAAAGCTCCACGCCGCTTTCTGAGGGGGGAAGAAAAGATGAAGCAATTAAAGCAGAATCCCCCACAGTAATGTTTAGTGTGTTACAGACAATCATCACCTCTCTTGTGGCAATTTAATCTTTTAATTATTAGGCTATGACCTAATGCAGAAAGGAGTATGGATAGGCATACATGTACAAATGGAAAAAGAACAGTAAAAAGTTAATTTTCTAAATCTTCTTTTGAGTGGTGGTTATGACTCAAAATTCACATATCTATTTATATGAAGTTCAAGAAAAGACAAAACTAATTTATGGTGATAGAAGTCACAAAGAGGTTGCCTTTGGTGGCAGAGATGACGACTACAAAAGCCACAAAGGTATGTCCTGGAGCACTCAAAATATTATATACATTGTATTCGGTAGTTATTTTATTTGGGTGTTATTAACTGATCTCCCTTCAAGACCTGTGCATTTTTATTGTATTTTACTTATACCTCAATAAAAATGCAAATCAACAAGCAACATATTCAATCAAGAATTTAAAGCAAAATAATAATTCAAAGGATATTGTTGAATTAGAATCTTAGTAATATAAGCACCTGCGTGAAATGTAAAAAAAAGGTATTTCCTGGTTTTAATACTATCTTAAAAAATAATCATAATGGTCAGATGGGCTATTAGTAATATACTTAAACTCACTGATATTTAACAAGGAAACAAGAGTGCAAATGAAAAGAGAATCCACTACTTACTGTCTTATGAATTGTACTGCATCTTCGTATTTCATTCCACCTTCGATTAATGCGAGAGCAACAAGCACTGGAGCTCTGGAAGGCAAGAATTTTGATAAATCATTTTTTCAAAACTAAACTCTGGTAAATTCATTATCCCAAATGTTCCCCAATCCAGAAGTATTATCTATCATACTTCCTATTTAAGTAACCCCCGTAATATTGACTTTATGTTAAAAATTAGAAGAATTTATAAAGTGTCAGTATTTTCGTATCAACCCAGATTATGAAGAACCAAATTAATAAAATTGTCTTACCTCCCAAGGCCTGCAACACAATGAACAGCAATACAACAACCAGGTTCTTCACGAAACTTGATTTTTACAAGACTTAACCAGTCATCAACAATCTGGTTAGATGGTGGTGCACCATCATCAAAAGGCCAGTCCTAAATCAAAAGAATGAAATATCATAGATCTTTAATATAAATACTATACAAATAATTCTAAATTCCTAACATCTAAATGTTTTCAAAAGCATTTTTATCTTAATATGTTTAATCGAATCTTATTAGACCCCACTGTCAATGAAATGTGACTAAATGCTCAATCTTTACAAAGATATTTCTTTACTTCAAACCTTTGCTTATCTTTCACCTTTATTTGGAAATTAAGATACTGTATAATATCTTAACTTAAAAAACTAAGTTTTGAGGTCTGTGGTTTATTTGAATAAACTTCTATAGCACACTATCATAAACACACAGGAACTGTTAAATACTTACAAGAACATGGATACCTTCTTTCTCCACAAGAGCAGTGTCATAAGTTGCTTCACATACTCTTACTATTGTGGTAACTCCGTATTTCTTAAGTTCCTAGATAAAACAAATTAAAAAAACTTAAAATTAAGTCTTCACAACCACATCACTATTGCTCAATATTAGCTATTTCGATCTTCTCTGATCAGCAGGTGTGCTGGTTAACAGAAAATCATGAAGAAAATGGTAGAACCTATGTACATGTAAACATGGAAACAAATCTTGTTTTAAATGAATACTAGAATAGTATAAAAGGAAAAGGGAATATTAAATACTGTATATATTTCATTAGGTTTTGGAGACAAGGTCTCACTCTGTCAGCTAGGCTAGAGTGCAGTGATGTGACCACAGCTCACTGTAATCTCGAATTCCTGGGCTCTAGCAATCTTCCGGCCTCAATCTCCTGAGGAGCTGGGACTAAAGGCATGTGCCACCATGCCTGGCTAATTTTATTTTTTGTAGAGATGAGATCTTGATATGTTGCCCAGGCTGGTCTCAAACTCCTGGCCTCAGGTGATTCTTCTACCTCAGTCTCCCAAAGTGCTGGGATTACAGGCATGAAGCCATTGTGCCTGGCCCTACATATTTTTAATAAATTAGAAAAGTTTTTTTTTCTTTAAATCCTGTGGCCCTTCACATACAGAAGTTGTTTATAGTCATGGTAACTCTGGATAGAATGGGATGAAACACTAAGAGGGGTAAAAGCAATAAGGGCAAAGGTATATATAACCAAAGGAATAATTTATAATCCAGTAAGTAATCTGGTTTGACACAATTACACTAACTCCTCAAACTTTTACTCATTTGAAGTATATAGTATAAGGTCTTAAAAGTATATTCAGACTCAAATCCTGAAAAATGCAGTAAAAACCCCACAAATTTAAAACTATAGGCTTTAAAATGCATTATTAATTTTAAATCTCCTGAGATTTAAAAACTGTTTACATGGTAATCAAACAAAAGTACTACTGAAGTATTTCCCTAAGATCTGAGAGACCTATTTGCTGTTTCTGAACACTTATAGATATTGATGAATAAAATGTGTATGTGTTCACATATATTCATCATTCGTTACATTTCTTCCTCCTAGTAAAAAGTGAGGTAAACAGTGAGACAGTTTTGGCTATGTAGCCATTATTAGGAAGAAACACAATCAGTAGCTGAAAATTGATTTTAAGCATCAAATGAGGTCCAAGGCTTAAACTAACTTTATGGTATTAGGCATTAGGCTAAGCATATATATGAAAAATCTATCAACAGCAGCCTTCTTCCTGTAAATTTCTTACAAAGTAAGTGAAAGTTATACTCTATTTATACTGTCCATATATGGATTTAAATTAAACTCAGATGCATGAAGAACTATGAACTCACAAAGCCAAACAAGTACATGTCTTTCTCAAAATGTATAAAAAAATTTATCTCTAAAGAAGACATATATATTTTATTTCTGGGAACTGGAACTATAGGTATATCATCTCATATTTTCCAAAACAGCATTTATTTCATAAGATATACACCCCATTATTTAACTGCAAGCAATTTAATATATTAAAAATTATCAAGTCTTACCTCTATAAATTTGTTTAAGGTCGCATTGGTTGGATTGTGTGTAATAAGAAATCTCATGTTCTTGTATGTGACTTCTACAGGAGCTGGGCGGTTCATTCGAGCCATGTTAATTTAGTTAAAAAACACTCAACAGGGTTATGAAAGAATTTAAAAAATTGAATACAGAAATGATGCAAAGAAACTGAAGTCTACTTCAATATACTCCACTTGAAATTCTCAGTGCTTTGAGTATGAAGTTGGAAGTAACGGTAAATGAAATGAACCTCCTAACAAGAAGCAGCAATTCTTCAATCCAGTAATACTGAGGCAACAAAAAGGAAGTGCACTGAGGTTTACCCCATCCAGGTCAGAACTCTTGTAAAATGCTCTGTGGATTTCAATTCAACACTTCTGTGTCCAGGTTAACCACTCTTATGGGGGCTTCTTGGTGGAGTAGTAATGAATTTCTACAGTTCACTTGTCTGCATAGAGGTCGTGCTGTGCCTGGCAGTAATCTCCACTGCCCTTCAGAAACTCCATAAATGTGTGACCAAGAACACCACAGAACTGCTGTTTAAAAGAAAAAGAGAGAGAGAGAGAAAAAAAGTTATTTTCCAATTCAAAAGGAACATGCTATGCTTTTACACTATTTAAATGCACAACTATTTTTTCAAATTAGAGCCCAAGGCACTTTTTCAACTTTTACTTGTATCACAAAATTCAAGGGTTGAGCACAAATTAAATCAATAAGCATGAAACAAGCAGTCGCAAGTAGATTAAACTGAAAATTACTGATCTATTATTACAAAGATTCCTCAAAGAAAACCAGTTACATTTGGTGAAATTCCTACGTACATGTATTTTCTTCTATTAATTACTCCTCTTTTAATAGTTGTTTGCTCTATATTGTTACGAATTGTATGTACCAGCTGTTGATTTTTCCAACTAACAAAACATTTTACACATTAACACAAAATTCATGAATACTTTGAAGTCATGAGTCCTTGCATAGTTAGTACTTAAGTTCCTTTTCGGTTTTTGCTTTCAAACTTAATATTGTCTATTAAGCCAGTTTGATGGGAGAGGAAGATATTGGCTAAAATGGCATTTTTACAAAGATAAGTAATACTCCTTTTTTTTTTGGTGACAGAATCTCACTCTGTTGCCCAGGCCGGGGCGCAGTGAGTCATCACAGCTCACTGCAACCTCAAACTCCCGAGCTCAATTGATCCTCCTGCCTCAGCCTCCCAAGTAGCTGGGACTACAGGTGCTTGCCACCATGCCTAGCTAATTTTTTCTATTTTCAGTAGAGACGGGGGGGAGGGGAGGGTCCCCACTCTTGCTCAGGGCTGGTCTTGAACTCCTGACCTCAAGCAATCCTCCTGCCTTGGCCTCCCAGGGTGCTAGGATTACAGGTGTGAGCCTAGCATGCCCAGCTAATAACTAATACTTCTTTACGTAATTATTTCTCAATGATTGCCCTCTAAATTTTGGTTTTAAAAGCTAAATTTTGAAGTTACCATCAACATTTTCCTTTTGTACTTTTTATCACACCTTCCTTTTTAAATTTAAAAATACCCTGAAGTTAAAAAAAGTAGTCTCTTGGCCGGGCACGGTGGCTCACGCCTATAATCCTAGCTCTCTGGGAGGCCGAGGCGGGCGGATTGTTTGAGCTCAGGCGTTCCAGACCAGCCCGAGCAAGAGCGAGACCCTGTCTCTACTAAAAAACAGAAAGAAACTATCTGGACAACTAAAAATATATAGAAAAAATTAGCCGGGCATGGTAGCGCATGCCTGTAGTCCCAGCTACTTGGGAGGCTGAGGCAGGAGGATTGCTTGAGCCCAGGAGTTTGAGGTTGCTGTGAGCTAGGCTGACGCCTCGGCACTCACTCTAGCCAGGGCAACAGAGTGAGACTCTGTCTCAAAAAAAAAAAGTAGTCTCATTTTATCTTTAACAATCTATTAATTTGTCATTCCCATTTAACAGATGAGGAAAATGAGTCCCTTGAAATTATTCAACTCATTAAGTTATCCTAAGAATATATATTTATAAACTTAAAAAGGAAAGATTCTCATTTATAACTATAAAAGAAAATATTTCTAATTTTTAATATTCTTTTGTATTTTAAAACCAAAACTTCACTTATCTAATCTAAAACTGAAATCTATTCACAGAAGAAAAGAGGATAGAGGGATGTCAAGGGGGAGGTGGCGGGTGATGTAAATTATCTCAGACTCCTTTTACAGGTTTTGAAAGCAAGGTAACTACTGCCATCAATATATTAAAAATGTACTCATATTTCCCCCAAGTTCCCCTTTAAGAACTAAACCAGTCTTATGCCAATATCAAACATTACATGAATATTCACAGGAAATTTTCAAAATATATATGCTAAGGCACTAATGTTAATAATTATTCTTCTTCCAAATAGTTTATAAGGTACTTCTTGTGTATTTGGGAGGAGAGAGGGGACAATGGAAAATATTATTAACAGCTTAACAAGAAGACTAAGTGACAGCTACTGCCTCAAACACTTTGTATGAATTCCCATGGGTAAATTATCAAACAAAATAAAATCTTGTAACATTAAAAAAGTTCCATTAGTTTCTATGCTTTAGCATTTGAAAAACTTAAAATTAAATTCAAACTATCTGCTCCCATTTTCATTTTACACCTTTAAATAGAGTCTCACACTACAGTTTCTAGAACGACTTAGCTAAATTTTGAAGAATAACTCATATGGTTATCTATTACGTGACAAAAAACATCAAGTCAAAAACCCAGTCTATTTTTTTTGGCAAAACAAAGGGACTAGCACTAGGAATCATTTATTAAAAGGTCCCATAAGGAAGAAAACTTTCATTAAGTTTGTTAAAATGAGCCTTCATAGGTTACTTCACCTGCTTGCTAGCTAGGTTAAAAAATGATTGTCTAAATCGCCATTAGAGATACCAGTATTACAGTGAATAGAGACTACAGTAATATGGAAAAAATTATTTCATTACGTTTTCACCTCAAATCCTAAATACTATCTCCTTAAATATAACAAAGAGTGTATTCCAACACTTTTCTGATGACATTCAATGAATTTAAAAAGCTTTACAAGTATCACAGTATTCTCATTTCTAGGTACTACGTTTTTTTCAGTTGAAAGCTGATTTATGAGACAGTATTCCACACCACTATTTCCATATTTAATAGCTAAAATTCCTGTCGGCTATAGCCGAGTGTGGCCATATCCCCTCACATGAGCACTTTTCATCAGCAAGCAGAGAACGCAATACAGAAAGAATTCATTTCCTGAACTTTTTTTTTTTACTGAGTGGAGCCACCCAGTGGCTGGGGGGACACTTCTAGTTAAGTAGTGATGACCACTGACATCTTTCTCTTCTGGCCAAGACACTCCCCCATGCCCAGTACCCTCCCCACAGGAGAAACCATTCACGACAGGCAGTTCAGAAATAAAAGGACTTTTCCTTCCACATTATGAGTTGCCTTATAACCACATGCATGATGGGGCAGAGGAGAAAAGAACAATTTCTGTGCAGAAGCTCAAGTCAAGTTTGTCAGACTGCAGAATCAAGCCAATCAATCTGTATAATGGATATTTCAAATAATTCGTTGGTTTGTTCGGCATCTACCTAGATCATAGGTAATGCACCTAATAAAGCATGTGTAAAATGTTGCATACTATTGGGAATCATCTATCTTTCTTTCTAGTTTTCAACTGATTAACCGCCACCAAACAAAATTCGTATGAAGAGTAACAGGAAGCACTGCCTCAAAATCTGAACCCCAGGCAGGTCAACGGTTCCAGCTACGGTGTAAATAACAACTTAACACTCTTGGAATCGTGGAGTGTTCCACCGACATAAGATAAACCTCACAATTCTGGCTCTGGTTTGGCTACTGTTGCCACGAACCAAGGAAGCAACAACACATTACACCACGGATTTCAGGAACAGTTTTAAAACAGTCCCCGATTAGAAGGCGCCATCCAAGGCCCTTACAAAATTGGCAAGGAAAATGCACGCTGATGCCCAGCCGGGAACTCCTTCGTTTCGGTGTAACAGTAGCCCTGGCAGTTTCCAAGGCGCTTCACCCAGGCCATTTCTCGACGACTTGCCCAGGGAACGGACAAGACTGAACTTGTTCCCATTAACCACAGCCTGAGGCGGGGCGCTAAATCCGGAACAGCTCGAATTACCAGGTGGAGACTGACTGCCGGAGGAGGGCGGGGCAGGGAGCTGCTGTTCCCACCTAGCAGAACCCCGCTCTGGCCCCGGCAGGGCAGCAGCTCGCGGGATGCCCTCGATGGCCGCCGCTCAGAGTACGCGGCGGAGCGCGCGCCGGCCCGCCCGCTGCGCCCCCTCTCTCCGCGCCGCAATCACGGGTTCGCGTCGCGCCTGACTGAAGGCGCGGGCGCCGAGGCCATTTTGTCTAAGGCTCTGGTCCCAGCCACGGAGCACAGGGGTGGCTGCACCAGGCTGCCGTCCCGCGCCGGCCCCCGAGCTCCGAGAGCTTCGGGGCGAGACCGTTACCAGCCACGCCGGGCCGCCCCGCCTACCCCACGCCTGCCCGGATCTGGTGGCAATCCCGCCGCCACCGCGCCCTCCCCGTATCCGGCTCCGCAGTGACACGCGCAGCCCTCGCCCCACCCCGGGCCACGTCTCCTGCTCCCAGTGCGGCCACTCTCCTTCCGCCGAACAAAGGGGCCCCGGGACGCCGCGGAGCCCGCCGAGCCCGGACGGGGCGCGCCAGACCGGAGGGCCAAGGGCGGAGGCGGCGGTCACAAAGCGGCTTTTGTGCCGCCCCGCCCGGCCCGCTGCGGTGGCCGAAACCGCCCTCCGCAGAGGCCGGGCCGCACCGCACCGCCCTGGCCGTTCCGAGCTCCGGAGGGGCATTGAAGCCGGTGCCTCCGGGGGCCAACTGCCACCCCGCAGCCCCTCGGGCCCCGGCGTCCTCCCCGCCGCAGCCGGCCTCCACTAGTCGGCCACAGGGCCGTAACTCGCCCGATCCCACCCGGGACCCACCGGAACCGCAGCCTGGGGTAACGGGAAGCGGACGCCAGGCTCCGAACAAAGGCGACGGCGGGGACGGGGGGGCCGGCCGCAGATTCCCAGCCCGAAAGGCGGCGGTGCGACGGCTACTCACAGGAATATGTTTACTCATTGAAGATTGTGGCCTAATCATACAGCCGGTCCCGAGGCGGCGGCGACACAGGCGGCGGCGGTGGCTGCAGGGCAGGGGGCGGCGGTGGTCGTCGCGGGGCGGCGGCGGCGGCGATGCAGGCGGCGGCGGGGGCACCAGTCTCTACCATGCAGTGAGCGGCTCGGAGGAGAGCGCGTAGCCGAGCCGGCCCGCAGCCGAAGGAGCCAATACGCGCGCCGCGGCGCCCTTGCGTCACAAGCCCTTGTCTTTATAGGCCGCGCGACGTGCGAACCCCCGGCCACCAATCGCCGCCCGGAACCCTGCGCTCAGAGCCGACGAGCGCGGGCGGAGGCCCGCCCACCGGGCACGTCACCCGCGGCGGCCGCCGCCGGTGTGAACCGGTTGATGAATGGCTGAACGCAGGAGTCTGAGCATCCCGCGGGGGAGGGAAGGGGCAGAGGGGAGACTTAGGGTTGCTGCGAGCTGGAGAGCGGGAAGAGATGGGAGCGGGAGAATGCTTTCTATCTACGGATTGGAAGGAATCACGCCGCAAACCCTATTTCTCATAATTAAAACCACCCACGAGAGCGCACGCGTCACATAGGCAGGCTTGAAGTTTGCCTCAAACTTAAAACGCAGTCCCTTTAGAACTGGAACTGACCCCGCTTTCTTATGCCTTAAGGAATAACCACAGTTATCTTTGCCAGAGGTTTACCTTGGCACCTGCGCCCCTAGCATCTCCGTCATCAAATAATATTGCTGTCGCACGACCGCTGTACTCGGTGATTCAACACCTCGAATGCCACGGCCTTAGGCTTGGACAAGATGAATTCTTGTCGCTGGGGGCACTTTCAAGAGGGGAGAAACTTGTCTTAAGAAAACTTGCCCTGTAGAAGATGGGGAGAGTATCTTTTGATGCGGACAAATGCTTTCTATAACCTTTTTTTGGTCACGCCTCCATACTACATACGCGGGCAACTGCAGTTGGCTCATTTGTGGAATTTCGAAATCACATGCATCCTTTGTACTGCTGCTCACTTAATGTGTTGTCATAGATAATAAAAGGTTAGGCACTGCTAAAAGGAAGCGTTTTAAAAAATTAAGAATCCTCCGTTTTGTCAAGCACTGATGTAGTTCTTTGCGTCAAAGCTAAAGCTTTCCTTTTTGTTCATTTTCAGTCCTGTTGTTCCACTGTCTTCATAATTTAGGCGCCTACGAAATAAAGCCTTATCACAATTCTTCTGTGCTATACAAGAGCAACTCTGTCATTTATAATCTGAAAACCCTTTCTCTTCAGCTTTCTGGAAGGAGTAAACAGGACCTTTACCTGCTTTGAAGAACTAAGTTTTCCACTAACACTGAGGCCTTTTGTTTGCTGTTTTCACCGAGCATTAGATTGGAGAGGGCTTTGGGGATCAAATTTTGTCCTTCTTCAGTGTACTACAGCATCTTAGGATTTATTAGAACTTCTATTTAGAGACTGCTGGCATAGTTATTAAACTTTCTTATAAACATGCACTCTCGTAAGTAAAGTAAGTGCTTTCGAAAGAGAATTGGGCCAGACTTATAAAGGAACAAAAGTCAACTCATTTTCATTTTAAAGAAGATTGCTCACCTAGGAAACTTTTGAATCCATTTAAATCAAAGAAAACTAGCAAATTTGAGAAATATATTACTAAGAAAATATAGGAAGATTTACAAAAATTCCTAGAGTGGTAGAGATAAAGCTAAGCAGGCCAAAGAACTCCAGTCACAAAGAAAAGGATAGATTTCATTATATAAAAATTAAAAACTTTTGTATGGCAAAAGACTTTTGACAAGTATTCATTTCACACTGGAGAAAATATTGGTGTATATTGTAGGCAGTTAATATCACAATAAATAAAAAGCTTGACCAACATAAATAATAGTGTAGTTAAAGAACACATATCCGATTAGCCACTTTTACCCCAAAAGTTGGTCAGCACAGAAATACTAATTGGAATAGTGAAACTTTTTTCATGTAATGATGTTTCAAAAAATGAATTTGGTGGGACAAGATACAAACTCAGCAAATGGCAAGCAGAGCCAAATCAGTGTTACCCAATTTTCTTGTAGAACTTGCGATGCAAGTTGTAAGCCTTGTGATCCACAGATCCTGTAATTACCACAAGCAGTGCTGACATGAAGAATCTAGTGAGCTATGCTCATCCAGCTCTAAAACCTGGGCTCAAACTCTGCAGTGAACTAATCAGTTTCTGGGGGTCTTAGCTTCTCAAATAAGGTACCGCCCTGTCCTACTTTGAGAATGACATAGATCAAGGATGAAAAGATAAAGAAGGCTTTTCCTATTGAGAAAGGACACATTTTAAGCAAGATTTAAGTGCAGTGTGGCTGACCAGTCCACTAAATTCTCTTAGTGGTAGTCATGTTCCTGCTTCTTTGGCAGCTGCCATGTTTTTATGTGTCCTGTGCCCTCGTGGCTCATTGCTGTGCTGAGGATGTCTGCTCCAATTCAGCTTACCAGTTTTAAGCTGCCAATTCTCAGAGACTCGTAGACCACATAAACATTGGGTCAGGAGACCCCTGTGATTCGATGACTCACTAACTTTTACAGACTTGCATTCAGAGCATTAGCACCTGTGCTTGTTCATTTTTATTTTTATCTTTTTTATTAGAGAGAGGGTCTCACTATGTTGCCCAGGCTGGACTCGAACTCCTGGATTCAAGCGATCCTCCTGCCTCAGCCTCCCCGGTAGCTGGGTCTACAGGTGTAGGCTACCACTTCCAGTAGCACCTGTATTTGTTTAAAGAGCGTCTCTGACAGACTTGTAAATAGTGATGTAGACATCAAAAAGGAAGAAAATACCTCTGAAAGCCAATGCTTACTCTAAGCTCCAGAAGCCCAAAGATGGATGTTTTTCTGTCCTGCTAAACAAGATACTTAGCTGGAGGTTACTTCTCTCAGTAAAACATGTGCCCTTGACCTCATCATGATAGGCAGGACTTTTCATTGGCATATTCAAAATTCAAACGACAACAGTGGAAAGATAAAGAAGACTATAAGAACATTATGAGGAAGATTTTTATGGGAGATGAAAGACTGCAGGGGCAATAAGTCGGCAAAACCTAATAATAAAGAACAGAGAAATGCTTACAAGGACAGATCTCCTAGTAAACATCGACTCCATTTAAAGCAGGTATACAAAAGGAGTGGAGGATTTCATCATTTTCAACCTCCTCAGAGTGGTTGGGGCTATGAGGAAGTCTGATAAAAAAACATTTGATACAGAAATGGTAGAAAGATCAAATGTGACAATATGAACCTAGAAAAAGACATTAGATTACAAGGTTTAAGAATATAGCAAATACATTAAAGGCAAATACTCCAATGAGCCATAACCCAGCTGGTGTCTGGATACTAGTGCAGAGGGTGAGCTTTTGTTCCCATATTTAAGAAGAGTTCTAACAATCCATATATACAACAATAGCTCCTATCAACATTATTTATTTTCCTTTTTGTTTTAGAACTGCCTATTTTATTTTATATCCAAAATTAATCTTCTTGTGTGATTATAAACAAAAAAATGTGTAGTACACAGCCTACCTTTCTTTATTGCACTTTGCAGACATTGTGTTTGCAAAATGAAGGTCTGTGGCAACTTTATGTCAAGTAAGTCTATTGGCACCATTTTTCCAACAGCATGAGCTCATTTCATGTCTGTCATATTTTGGTTATTCTCCCAATATTTCAAACTTTTTCATTATTATTATATCTGTTATGGTGATCTGTGATCAGTAATCTTTGATGTTACTATTGTAATTGTTTTGGATCACCTCAGACAGTGCCCATATAAGATGGTGAACCTAAATGTTTTGTGTGCTCTGACTGCTCCACTGACAGGCAATTCCCCCATCTCCTTCCCTCTCTTCAAGCCTCCTTGTTCCCTGAGACACAACAATATTGAAAGTAGGCCAATTAATAGCTCTAAAATGGCCTCTCAGTGTTCAAGTAAAAGGAAGAGTCCCATGTTTCTCATTTTAAATCAAAGCTAGATATGATTAAGCTTAGTGAGGAAGGCATGTTGAAAACCAAGATAGGTAAATAGCAAGAGAATTAGAGTTAGAAGTGGAGGCTGAAGATGCGACTGAATTGCTGCGATTTCATGATCAAACTTGAAGGGATATGAGGTTGCTTCTTAGGGATTAGCAAAGACAGTGGTTTCTTGAGATGGAATCTACTCTTTGGTGAAGATGCTGTGAACATCATTGAAATGACAAGCAAGGATTTAGATAATCACATAAACTTAGTTGATAAAGCAGTGGCAGTGTTTGAAAGGACTCCAATTTTGAAAGAAGTTTGACTATGGGTAAAACCACTGTCAAACAGCAACACATGCTACAGAGAAAACTTCTGTGAAAGGAAGAGTCAATCAATACTGCAGACTTTACTGTTGTCTTGTTAGAAGAAATCACCCCAGCTTTCAGCAATTACCAACCTGATCAGTCAGCAGCCATCAACATTGAGGCAAGACTCTCCATCAGCAAAGATTACAAATTGCTGAAGGCTCAGATGATCATTAGCATTTTTTAGCAATAAAGTGTTTTTTGTTTAAGAGATAGAGTCTCATTCTGTTGCTGAGGCTGGAGTGCAGTGGGGCCATTATAGCTCACTACAACCTCAAACTCCTGGGCTCAAGCGATCCTCCTGCCTTGGCCTCTTCAGTAGCTGGGACTACAGGTGCATGCTACTGCGCCTGGCTAATTTTTTTTTTTTTGTTTTTTTTTTTTTTGTAGAGATGGGTCTGGCCAAGTTGCTCAGGCTGATCTCAAACTCCTGACCTCAAGAGATCCTTGGCCTCCCAAAGTGCTGGGATTACAGGTGTGAGCCACTGCACCTTGACTATTTTTTAATTAAGGCATTATAGGATCCCCCAGTTTCGTCTGCTTTCTTTTTAAGTCTTGACCCAAAATCACAGAGTGCCTTGACCACTCAGTGATCCAGCCAGCTGCAGGTTTTTCCCAGCTGGCTTGAACCTAAACTGGGGCCTTGTACATTCCCAGGCACTGATAAAGATATCTATGTTTACTAGAAAGAAACTAGCCCCAACCCTGAGCCAAGTTCCTTAAACCTTTGTGTAAACTTCATATCCTGACCCCCTGGTTGCAGACATATGTAGGTAAAACACCCCTTTTCTATTGTTGTCCATCATGTGAATATACTGCAGCACTCTAAGTTCCTCTAATAAATGCTTTAAACTGATCACCCTGCATTTAGTGCTTCTTTCTTTAGAATCTCAACCAGCCCCATCTCTAGATGGTTTGGGGTGCTCCCTTATGGGAATTCCTCTGCCCCTGCTTTTAGGGAGACTCTAGCTGTGGGTTCAGCAGGATAGCAGATATGTACATTGTTTTGTTAGACATAATGTTATTACACACTTAATAGACTACAATATAGCATAAACGTAACTTTTGTATGCACTGGGAAACAAAAAATTTGTGTGACTCCCTTTATGGTGATACTCACTTTATTGTGATGGTCTAGAACTGAACCCACAATATATCTGAGGTAGGCCTGTACTTAAATTTCTATAAATATTTAGTTTGTAGAGTTCTTAGATATTGTTTGAAACTAAAACATGCTCTGTGTTAAAAAATGACTTAATTTTCTTCCCTTAAGACACTGATTTAAAGTTTTATCAAGAGTCTTTTAAATGAGTTTT